AACCCATGTTTGATTTCTGGAAGATTTTGGGAGAAAAAATAAAAACAAAACAAAACAAGAAAAAACCTAGAAAACAACGGCTTCCAAAACCAATAGCTGCGTATCACACCATTCCAATTTCTATTTCTATTTCCTCTTCCTTTCCTGGATTTAGAACAAAAAAAGAACGGAGAAAGAAAAATTCCCAGATATAATAAAAGAAGCGAACAATCAATTTACAAAAAAAAAAAAACAATGAAAGAAGTACGAATAACAACAGATCCGCTAAATCAATATAGCATACCTAACTTAGATCAAACAGCTCTACAATTTCCCCACAATAAACAAGAAAAAATTATTAAACTGAATAAAATCAAGGAAAGATAAAAGAAGGGGGAAAAGACGCACCTATGTAAACCGGATCAACGCAGAGATGTGTCGGATTAGAACATCGGATTGCGAATTTGAAATTTCAGAAAGAGAAAAGAAAGTCTTCGTGTTTAGGGTTTGGTTAGAGAGAGAAGAGGAAAGAGAGAGAGAGAGAGAGAGAGAACGGTGTGGTTTGGTTTCTTTTGGTTTTGTGGTTTTTGGGTCCAAACGGGATGAGATTAGGGAGACAATTTCTTTTTTCTTTTTCCGTTTGCTTTTTCTATTTTTCTGTTCATTTTTTGCATTTTCTATTTATTTAGAGCTATTACCAGCTTTAGTCAGGCGGCAAGCAAAGAGACGCCGTCGTTTTGGACCTGATAATGGTGTATATCCATTGGCCGTCCGTTATTTGTTTTTCTTTTTCTGGTTTGCTGACTCGAGAAATTACTTGACTACCTGTTTCTAGTTATTTTTCTTTGTTTTTATTTATTTATTTATGAGTGATATATAGGGAGAGATGAATGAAGTTCTATATTTTTTGTGTCAGATTGTTGGATTGCAAAAATTATAAAGGAATCCAGAACTTGCTAGAACTGCAATAGTATAAAGGCATAAAAAGAATGGACACACATTTTCACAAATATACATGCAGTTTCACTCACAATTTTATTGAAGATAAGAAGCTTATCAAGGCAGAATCAGAAAATATTTTGTGAAACAAAAAAAAAATTGTGACAATATTTAACAAGGATGAAAGTTAGAAGTTGCACTATTGTTAAATAACAATCATTAAACTTATTAAAGGTCAATACATCAAGTTTCAAAATCACTGATGATTGGTCTATAAGTGGATATCGTATTAACAATTGAATCATTCACCATTACAACAAATTTATGGGTCACATTATGAAACAATGAGAGAATGTCTGAGAAGGGACAAACAAGAACAACATCAGACGCCAGTATTGGTATAAATAAACCCTGTCCGACCAACATGAGTAAGCCCTATGTTTGGGGAAAAAAATATCAAACTTGGCACCAAACTTTGAGTATGACACAAACTACACTTGGCTCAACATTATGATTCTTTTGGAACAACATATAGAAAGACTCTGTTGAGGCCCAAAAAATCCACAGTTTGACCCAAAAAATTTATCGGCCCAATGCTATACCTTACTGATAAGAAACCAGTTTTGGGCATGCAGAAGTTCATCATATGCGCTTGCACACACGCCACGCCAAGTAAGGAATTATTATTCTGCACTTAATCACGCCACAAGCTTAAATGGGCCCAAGCCACGCAAGATGCCTGGGGCTTGCTTGAGTGAGTTGTGGTATGAATGGTAATAAGTTGTCATGAGGTGAAACAACCTGATCCAATTTCCACTTTGGAATCCGGGTCGAAACCTGTTTAAAACTGACACCTGGTGACTGTGGGTCAAAAATGACCAAAATGACAAAGACGAAAATACCCTGAAAACAATAACATAAACCCTGAGCCCCTAACTCGTGGCTGCGCCTAATAACTGTAGGCTGCCTACGTACCCTTACTGAGGGATCAAGCCACACGTAGTTCTTTTCTCTGTTCCTGACCTGTAACTGAACTGTAAAACTGCCCTAGGGCTGACCATTCTGGAGTATCCGGGACTCCGTTTTACGATCCGTCAAATACGATACGATCCTGGAAAAGTCTAGATTAACATACTTGGAATTAACTACGATCCAACGGTTCAAACGTATTGAACCCGGAAATCGCACAGTAGGCGAGATCCGTTCGGGGTTCAAACGATATTCGAATTAAGATCCGCGAAATCCTACGCGCTCGTGAGGACTAGGGTACTAGTGGATCATTTTAGGCCTGACTTTGGTCGCCACCCTGCTGCCCACGCGCCGCCACACGCGCTAGCAGCGCGTGGTGCCTAAAGCGAGAACGCCTCGCCAGAAAAGCTCAACATCTCGGCTCAAGACTCCTATCCTAGGTAAAACACCCTATTTGGAACCACTTTTGTTCTTGGACCTACCCCAAAAAGTGGCCGGAAGTGGCTGGAAATTCAATTTGAAAATGGCCAAAACCTAATTTCAAAATCGAACTACAAACTCTCAAAATTTCTGGAATCCTATCCAATAGGCAGCTAGATCATGAAAAATAGTCGAGAATCCATACCTCATTCGTCCGATTTGGTGGAGAAATGAGAGAGTACGAGCGATTTGAAAATCTGTCAAAATCTGTCCGAAAACAGCTCGAATTTCTTCAATTTCCGGCCAGTACCGGCGGTTCCAGCGGCTGAAATTGGTCGGGATGGGAAGAGGAAGGAAGTTCGGTCATTTTGGTACCGACCCCGTCGAGTTTGGTGGCCGGAGGCCGGACGACCGAACGGCCGGCCAAAACGTGGCCGGCTACACTGCTGTCGCGCGAAGGAGAGAGAGACAGCACCCCCCGGAGAGAGAGAGAGAAACTGAGGTTTTAAAATCTAACTTTTCAAAAGTACCTTTTTGCCCTTGAGCGTATTTTGACCATATTTCTTCGTTATAATTCCGATTCGAGCCTAATACGTATCTACGGACTCGTTTCGTCGCGCTCTACGCAACGGTGTAAGTGAAACGGTCAAGTTCTTTCTCGGTCAAAAGGTCAACCTTTTCCTCAATAAAATATTCTAAGGGCATTTTAGTCTTTTCATCTAATAAATTAATAATTAAATATTAATTTTTGGTTTGGGTTGTTACAATCTTCCCCCCTTATAAAATTTCGTCCTCGAAATTTACTTTCCCTCTAACGGAGGGGGTGAGGGTACTAGACCCACAACTGCTACTCGTTTGCAACTATAAGTCTGAGTATCTGCATCTATAATTCGAATAATAAAATCCGGGAGCAACCTATTTATATCTGTCTACCCTCACCTTTTCGAGTGATGGGTACTAAGCCTACATCTGTTACCCGGGGTTCTCAAGTCTGTCCCTCAAGTACTGTACTCACTACTTGCATCTCAATAACTGTATCTATAGGGTAATCAATAAAATCTGAGGGCCACACATTTATACCTGAATACCTGAGCTGGCTTAAGGAAATATAAAACTCTGAAAAAATCTGCTAATTTACTGAATTTCTAATAGACTTAAAACTCTGCTGCCCTTAATCTGATAATCAGTTAAAAACCCCTTTTTCCCTCTGAGTATTTGACACCTGGCTAATGTTGGGCACAAAAAACTAGTTTGCTCTTCTTAATTGAAATTAACTGAAATGCAAGTGCGACTTCTACCGAAAATTCGGCAGAGTCTCCCCTGTAAACTGAGCATTCCCAAAAATGTTCGGCCTATAAAACAAGGATATATTTATATAACTCATCTGCCAGCATGCATTAAATCATATCCAAATAATCAAGCATCATAATATTTTGGCATCAGGCCACAACAATTCAAATAAATCAATCTGCTAATAAAATTCATCTCAACTTCTTGATCAACAAAGATACTCTGGCAATTCAACATGCTAACTTATGCATTCTTATTCATGCATGACTTATCAATTAATAATTCTGCTAAAAAAAAATACTGAATATATATAACTCATCATGTTCTGTAATCCTGGCTGGACTCAGGAGACATCTGGTTAACCTGATCCGCAATTCTGGCTCCCACGGTCTGGATAACTGTA